GAAGGAAGCCAGTTACTGCTGTGGGCAGCTGGGACACCCAGGACAGAGGTGACCACCAGAGAGAGGCAAGGGCCTCAGAGTTACCCCAACCAAGGGGGAGGGAGCTGGGCATTTACCCATCAGCTCCCACCAGCCAGAGCAGCAGGGCTCCCATTAGAATCCTCAGAGGAGTTTTTTTTCAAACTCATGATCCAGGCATCCACATCCAGAGATCCTGGGTTCACGAGCCCCGGCACTAGGGCTGGAGAAAGCTCCCCAGGGAATCCATGTGCACAATACAGCTTGGGAAGCCCCAGTCTCGCTGACTTCTCAGATCCTTTGGAGCCTGCAGGCTCGGGGCCTCCCTGAATAAGTTCAGCTGAGGATGGAAACCCTGGGAAAGCCGCCAGTGCAGCTGGAGATAAATCACTCAAGGGCCGGGACCGCAGCCGGTGGAGGCTTGAGAAGCGGGGGTTTTGGCTTTCACTCCACTGTTTGCGCTCCCGTGACCAGAACGGAGCCTGACCCACAGACGTTCTTTTCAGGAGGAAAGAAAAAATGTCAAGCATATTTTCTGAGGTTTAATTTCCTCCCAGTGTCCTGAAGAAACCTTCCTAAAGCTCAAGCAGCCTCAACCCGAGTCTCCAGTATAACATCAAAGACTTTGAAATCGATACCCAGTGTGATTTTGCTAAAGTAAATAAAAACCAGGGGAGGAGGAAAATTAAAAAGAGCATGGGTCTAGGAGAGGCCAAACCTCCACTGAGAAGGTGAAAAAAAAGACTGGTTGGGGTGGAGGAGGGGGCAGAATTCTGAGAGTTTCAAATTCAGGGAAAGAGTTGCCAGATTCAGCAAATAAAAAAGCCTCGTTCAATCAAAAACTGGATGCTTAGTTCAATTTGAATTGCAGATGAACACTGAATAATTTTTTTTAGTGTAGAAGTGTGTCCTATGCAATGCTGGGGGCATACTTATATTAAATATTGCATGGGGCAAGAATTAAAAGTCGCATGCATTGCCTATCTGAAATTCAGGCTTAACAGGGTATCCTGGATTTTATCTGACAACCCTAAAACCTACAGGTGAGTTGATAGGTCTCAACTGATTGTGCTGCGCTCAGTTGTGTCTGACTCTTTGCGACTCCATGGGCCGTAGCCTGCCATGCTCCTCTGTCCATGGGATTCTCAGGCAAGAATACTGGAGTGGGTTGCAATTGCAACTGGTTCAGTTCAGTCAGTTCAGTCACTCAGTCATGTCCAACTCTTTGTGACCCCATGGACTGCAGCACGCCAGGCCTCCCTGTGCATCCCCAACTCCCGGAATTTGCTCAAACTCATGTCCATCAAGTCAGTGATGCCATCCTACCATCTCATCCTCTGTTGTCCCCTTCTCTTCCTGCCTTCAATCTTTCCCAGCATCAGGGTCTTTTCCAATGAGTTAGTTCTTCCCATCAGGTGGCGGAAGTATTGGAGTTTCAGCTTCTGCATCAGTCCTTCCAATGAATATTCAGGACTGATTTCCTTTAGGATTGACTGGTTTGATCTCCTTACTGTCCAAGGGACTCTCAAGAGTCTTCTCCAACACCACAGTTCAAAAGCATCAATTCTTCAACACTCAGTTTTCTTTATAGTCTGCTCTCACATCCATACATGACTACTGGAAAAACCATAGCTTTGACTAGATGGACCTTTGTTGGCAAAGTAATGTCTCTGCTTTTTAACATGCTGTCTAGGTTAGTCACAGCTTTTCTTCCAAGGAGCAAGCGTGTTTTTATTTCATAGCTACAGTCACCATCTGCAGTGATTTTGGAGCCCCCCAAAATAAAGTCTGTCACTGTTTCCATTGTTTCCCCATCTATTTGCCATGAAGTGATGGGACCAGATGCCATGATCTTAGTTTTCTGAATGTTGAGTTTTAAGTCAACTTTTTCACTCTGCTCTTTCACTTTCATCAAGAGGCTCTTTAGTTCTTCTTTGCTTTCTGCCATAGGGTGGTGTCATCTGTGTATATGAGGTTATTGGTATTCCTCCTGGCAATCTTGATTCCAGCTTGTGCTTCATCCAGTTTGGCATTTTGCGTGATGTAGTCTGCATATAAGTTAAATAAGCAGGGTGACAATATACAGCCTTGATGTACTCCTTTCCCAATTTGGAACCTGTCTGTTGTTCCATGTCCAGTTCTAACTACTGCTTCTTGACCTGCATACAGATTTCTCAGGAGTCAGGTAAGGTGGTCTGGGATTCCCAACTCTATAAGAATTTTCCACAGTTTGTCATGATCCACACAGCCAAAGGGTCTGGTGTAGTCAATAAAGCAGAATTAGATGTTTTTTTCTGGAGCTCTCTTGCTTTTTTGATGATCCAATGGATGTTGGCAATTTGATCTCTGGTTCCTCTACCTTTTCTAAAACCAGCTTGAACATCTGGAAGTTCACAGTTCATATACTGTTGAAGCCTCGCTTGGAGAATTTTGAGCATTATTTTGCTAACATGTGAGATGAGTGCAACTGGGTGGTAGTTTGAACATTCTTTGGCATTGCCCTTCTTTGGGATTGGAATGAAAACGGACCTTTTCCAGTCCTGTGGCCACTGTTGAGTTTTCCAAATTTGCTGGCATGTTGAGTGCAGCACTTTTATAGCATCATCTTTTAGGATTTGAAATAGCTCAACTGGAATTCTATCACCTCCACTAGCTTTGTTTTTAGTGATGTTTCCTAAGGCCCACTTGACTCTACACTCTGGGATGTCTGGCTCTAGGTGAGTTGATCACACCATCATGGTTATCTGGGTCATGAAGATCTTTTTTGTATAGTTCTTTTGTGTATTCTTGCTACCTTTTCTTAATATCTTCTGCTTCTGTTACGTCCATACCATTGCTGTCCTTTATTGTGCCCATCTTTGTATGAAATTTTCCCTTGGTATAATTTTCTTGAAGAGATCTCAAGTCTTTCCCATTCTATTGTTTTCCTCTATTTCTTTGCATCAATTGCTGAGGAAGGCTTTCTTATCTCTCCTTGCTATTCTTTGGAACTCTACATTCAGATGCTTATATCTTTCCTTTTCTCCTTTGCTTTTCACGTCTCTTCTTTTCTCAGCTATATGTAAGGCCTCCTCAGAAAGCCATTTTGCCTATTTGCATTTCTTTTTCTTAGGGATGGTCTTGATCACTGCCTCCTATACAATGTCATGAACCTCTGTCCATGGTTCTTCAGGCACTCTGTCTATCAGATCCAATCCCTTGAATCTATTTCTCACTTTCACTGTTTAGTCGTAAGGCATTTGATTTAGGTCATACCTGAATGGTCTAGTGGTTTTCTCTACTTTCTTCAACTTAAGTCTGAATTTGGCAATAAGGAATTCATGATCTGAGCTACAGTCAGCTCCTGGTCTTGTTTTTGCTGATTGTATAGCGCTTCTCCATCTTTGTCTGCAAATCAATCTGATTTCGGTATTGACCATCTGGTGATGTCCATGTGTAGAGTCTTCTCTTGCATTGTTGGAAGAGGGTGTTTGCTATGACCAGTATGTTCTCTTAGCAAAACTCTTAGCCTTTGCCCTGCTTCATTTTGTACTCCAAGGCCAAATTTGCCTGTTACTTCAAGTATCTCTTGACTTCTTACTTTTGCATTCCAGTCCCCTATAATGAAAAGGACATCTTCTCTGGATATTAGCTCTAGAAGGTCTCGTAGGTCTTCATATAATGGTTCAACTTCAACTTCTTCAGCATTACAGGTCAGGGTATAGACTTGAATTACCATGATATTGAATGGTTTGCCATGGAAACCAACAGAGATCATTCTGCCATTTTTGAGGCTGCACCCAAGTACTGCATTTTGGACTCTTTTGTTGACTATGAGGGCTACTCCATTTCGTCTAAGGGATTCTTGCTCATAATAGTAGATATATGGTCATCTGAGTTAAATTCACCCTTTCCAGTCCATTTTAGTTCACGATTCCTAAAATGTCGATATTCATTCTTGCTATCTCCTGTTTGACCACTTCCAATTTACCTTGATTCATGGACCTAACATTTCAGGTTCCTATGCAATATTACTCTTTACAGTATCAGACTTTACTTCCATCACCAGTCACATCCACAACTGGACGTTGTTTTTGCTTTGGCTCTGTCTCTTCACTCCTTCTGGAGTTATTTCTCCACTCTTTTCCAGTAGCATACGGGCACCTACCAATCTGGGGAGTTCATCTTTCAGTGTCATATATTTTTGCCTTTTCATACTGTTTGTGGGGTTCTCAAAGCAAGAATACTGAAGTGGTTTGCCATTCCCTTCTCCCATGAGCCACATTTTGTCAATACTCTCCACCATGACCCATCCATCTTGGGTGGCCCTACACGGCATGGCTCATAGCTTCATTGAGTTGGACAAGGCTGTGGTCCATGTGATCAGTTTGATTAGTTTTCTGGGATTGTGGTTTTCATTCTGTCTGCCATCTGAGGGATAAGGATAAGAGGCTTATGGAAGCTTCCTGATGGGAGAGACTGACTGAGGGGGAAACTGGGTCTTGTTCTGATGGGCAACTGGTTAGGACTTCCTTACCTGGGTGTGAGAGTTACTGGTATCTCTGCTTAGGTAGAGTCTCTGGTCTCACCCGGGGGTCCCTGACCAGGCAGGTTGTCTCTGGCATTCTATTTGTAGATAGAGTGGAAATGCCAGAAAAAGATGTGGAAGTAGATGGAAAAGGGAGGAAAGAAGGGAGGAGGGGGTCCAGCTGAGGGTGTGGGTGAGGGGTGCCACATCCCCTGGCCAGCCCTCCCCACTCCAACTCCACCCTACCCCACCCCTGCGCTGCAGGCCAAAGTAGAAACTGCCTCTCTTTCTGTCAACCGGGGATGTGGAGCGAAGGTCCGAAGACATCCGCCCCAGCCCAGCAGCGACGGGAGGGAGACTGAAGGCTTATTCACCCCGCTCCACCAGGGGCTACCCCTTCCCCTTCCCTGCCCCCCACCCCGCCACTTTTCTCCAGGGTTGCCTCCCTCCACCTCCTCTTTCCCCACCAAATAAGGAACCGTGGGGGGAAGAGCGCCGGCGAGGATGCCTGGGGGCTGCTACCCTCTCCCGGGCAGGATCGGCTGCCCAGCCGCCAGGGGCTGGGGCAGCAACTGGAAGCGGCTCCTTGGGCCAAGGTCAGCGTCGGCGGCCGGCGGCGGGCAAGGAGGCTCCAGCCCCTGCAAGTGAGAAGGGCCCGAGGGCAGGCTAGATCCGGCCGGCCCCGCGCTGCCTGCGGCCCCTTCGTGGAGGATGACGTGGCGGCGCGAGGCAGCGCCACGACTCTGCCCAGACTTCCAGACCCCGGGATCCCGGGATCCGACCCAAAGAAAACGCAGACCCAGGAGAGACGTGTCCGGAAGCCGTGGACCATGGCCTAGGGAACACGGTTTAATAAATGTTGGTACATCAGCACAGTGCAATGTGACTTTATGTCTCCTGGCTCTCCTTAGGTTCCCGATGGGTGACGGGCACCCTGCCAGCCTCTGGGTACACAAAGGTCGAGATAAGCTCGGCTCTTTGGCTCTTTCCAGGGAGTGTGGCCGGGGGCTGGGGTCACAAGGGCAACAACAGGCCTTTAAGAGTTCAATCTCCAGAACCAGGTAGCCAGCAGCGGGTTTGAACACAGGTCTCTATCCATGTGTGAGATGCGGACCTCAGAGGTACCTGGGGAGGGTCCAATGGGGTTCTGCCTGCGAGGCCCTTGGCACAGAGCCTGGCATGTAGATGAAGCTGCCAACAGTCACTGATCGTCATTATTACTGTTACTATTACTATAGGAATGCAATAGGTGCTGGGGGCTTCCCAGGTGGCGCAAGTGGTAAAGAACCTGCCAGACCATGCAGGAGACATAAAAGACACGGTTTCAATCCCTGTGTCAGGAAGATCCCCTGGAAGAGGAAAGGGCAACCCACTCCAGTATTTTCGCGTGGGAAATCCCAAGGACAGAGGAGCCTGGCGGGCTACCATCCACAGGGTCGCAAAGAGTCAGACATGACTGAATCGACTTAGTATACAAGCAGGTGCTGTAACAGAAGAATGTACAATGTAGGATGCGGGCACAGAGACCAATGGGCCAAGTACCCTAATAAAGGGCACAGAAGCTTCCAGGAGGACACACAACAGACGCACACTCTTAGCACAGAGGATGGGGTGTATCATTCTGCCTGGGATGTCACCAAAGCTCCCATAGGTGGCTGCTCAGCTAGATCATGAAGGATATGAAGTTTGCTGGATAACAAGAAATGAAAAGGTGTTTCAGGTGGAAGCCAAGGAGGAGGAGAGAAGGGGCAGGGCGGATTCCAAGATGGGCTTCTAAGTGTCTAGAGGAGACACAGACGAGTGAAGGGTTGCAGCTCTTCCCTCGTGAGCAGCTGCCCTCGACTGCACGTGTGCCAAGCCGGTCCTCCCTCTGTGAGCGTCTGGACCCCACCAGGCACAGCCTCCATCACGGCGAGGTCCCCGTCCTTTCGGCAACCACCTCAGCCCACTCAAGATGCTCTGAGGCTGACATCCAAAGGGAAGGTTCTGGGTCTTTTATCTTTTTCTTCTCACAGTGATTCTTGGCCCTTGTGCAAATCTGCTTACCCTTTTCCAGCCACCTTTGAACTCTTCACGGGTGAGTCATTTTTATGTCCATTGGCCAAAATCCAAGTGAAAAGATCCCAAGTTCTTGAAAGAAGGGGCTGTAATGATAATATTAACGACGACAGTTAGCAAACATGGCGGCTTCCTCTCCATCAAGCACTGTGCTGATGCCTTCTCTGTGAATCACTGTTCTTACCCCCTGGTTTCAGGTAATGTGACTGAGTTGAAGTGATCTGTTCAAGGGTCACCCAGCCAGTAATGGTGAATCTGAGATTCAAACCCAGGGCTGCCTTACTCCAGAGCTGATTCCAGTACCACTGGGCCATCTTTCTTCTTCTTCTCCTTCTTCTTTTTTCTGTCTTACAGCATGCAGGGTCTTAATTCCCAACCAGGGATTGAACCCGTGACTCCTGCAGTGGAAGCAGAGTCTTAACCACTGGAACACCAGGGAAGTCCCTGAACTGTCTACTGAGAAAGCTAAATGTGTCTAGTTAGGGCACAGATCAAGAGGGGGAGAAGGGAGGGCTCCTAACCTCTTCATAGCTAGTGAAGATGTCACCAGCCCAACAAGGGCCACAGCCCTGGATCTGAGTACCACCTGGTGAGTGTCCTGTAAGCTCCAGATACCACCCTGCACATCATGTCTTTCAACCAAGGGAACTTAACACAGGAAATTTGTTTTGCAGCTTGGACTTCCTGAGGAGCCAAATGGGATGGCGAAGTGACCAGACAGTTTAGTAACAACAGTAAGTCACTGCTGCCATCACTAGGGCCAGGACAAGAAGGGAGAAGCTAGGGTTACCAGAGCCCATGGCTCAGGGCACCTACTAGGTGCTGGAACCATAGTAGAGATGTAGCCACAGAAGCACAGGGGTGGGTGGAATGGGGATTTCTAGCAACTACCCTCCAAGGTAGTTATTTTTACCCCATTTTAGAGATGAGGAAACTGAGACTTGGAGAGGTTTAGTGACTGGCCCAACCAAGATGGAGGTCAGTGTGTCTGTCTTCATAGCTCTGGCCAAACCAGTCAGCTCAGGGACTTTGTGAGCCATGAACAACAGAGGAAGACAACTTATGAGCCTTCAGGTTCCAAAGACCTGACAGGGGTGGGGGTAAGGGATCAAGGGCCCTTGGGTGACAGCGGTGCCCATGTGTCTCTCCTTTGCTGTCCTGCCAAGTCCCAGCTATAGCCCAGAGAGGCATGTTACATGAAGCCGCAGCCTGGACTCTGCATGTTGGGACTAAGAGCAATTCTTTTTCCTTTGAGGCCTTCTGTATTTTCCAAATCTTCCCAGAGGAATATGCACATCTTCATTAGTGGGAAGGACAGCTCATCTCCAGGCATCACTGAAAAGGTAGAAGTCTCCAGACGAAGCCTTTAGCAGAAGAAAAGTTGGGGCCAAAGATGGTGACACGAGGGAAGACTGGTCAACACAGGTGGCTCGTCACCAGCCTGCAGGCTCCTCCCCGGGAGGGAACACAACCAGGAGGTGAAAACATGCAATGGTAAGAGCTGCTGTTCACACATACACACCCAGCCCTCTTCTGCACAACACACACACATATGACAACACAAATGTACACAAACACATTTGTGTGCTCTCATAAGAAGGCTCAGCACACATATTTGCTTACATGTACACATGAAACACACATGTAAACACACATTCCCATACACACATATCCACACATGTGCAAACAATAACACACACGCACATTTACACATGCAAAACAGAAGTCTGTGGTGCACAAGCACACATCACACCCATGTACACACACACACACACAAACATCACAACACACAGGCTCATTCTGCTTATTTTCAAATGAGACTTGACAAAATGTTCCTGTCACAGCATCTCCCAGGGAGTGTCTGGCCTCCTTGGAGTAGATCCCGGTATCACCTCCCAGGAACAGAGAGGGCTTCACCTTTCAGCCCCAGAACACAAGCCACAGGTGCTGTCTCACGGGTGGGCCCCAGAGAGCACCTCCCCCTGTGATGCGAGTGGAGGCCTAAGCAGTCCCCCTGAGCACCCAGCAGCCCAGCAGCACCCATCGGACAGCCTGGGAGCTCTCTGAGGACCCACACCCCGCTGAGCCACTCCGAAGTCTCAGGAGCAGCTGCAGTTGGCAGAGTCCAGGTGTCCCCAGAGGAAGTTGCGAGGCCAGACCCAGCTGGGCCCCCAGGAAGGCTCCTGGGGTCTCTTTATGAAGCGAGGGGTGCTGGGAAACCTGAAGAGTCACATGCAAATCAGTGAAGCTGGAACTCATCCTCACACCATGCAGAAAAATAAACTCAGAATGGCTTAAAGACTTAAATATAAGACAAGACATTGAAAAACGCCTAGCAGAGAACATAGGTAAAACATTCTCTGACATAAATCGCACGGATGTTTTCTTAGGTCGGTTTACCAAGGCAACAGAAACAAAAGCAAAAATAAACAAATGGGACCTAATCAAACTTACAAGCTTTTGCACAGCAAAGGAAACCATAAACAAAACAAGAGACAAGACTGGGAGAAACTATTTGCAAATGAGTGGACCAACAAGGGCTTACTTTCCAGAATATACAAACAACTCATACAACTCAATAACAAAAAGCAAACAGCCCATCAAAAAATGGCAAAACACCTAAACAGAAATTTCTCCAGAGAAGACATACAGATGGCCAATAGGCAGATGAAAAGATGCTCAACATCAAAATAATTATTAGAGAAATGCAAATCAAAACCATAATGAGGTATCACCTAACACCTGTCAGAATGGTCATCATTAAAATGATGTCTAAAAACAATAAATGCTGGAGAGGGTGTGGAGAAAAGGGAACCCTTCTATACACTGTGGAAATGTAAATGTGGGAATGTAAATTGATGCAGCCACTATGGAGAACAGTATGGAGGTTTCTTAAAAAACAAGAAGCAGAATTACCACATGATCCAGTAATCCCACTACTGGGCATATATCCAGAGAAAACTCTAATTCAAAAAAATACATGCACCCTAATGTTCATAGCAGTACTATTCACAATAGCCAAAACTTAAATGTACGTTGACAAATGAATGGATAAAGAAGCCATCATATATATATGATGGCTTCTTTATCCATGTGTGTGTGTGTGTGTGTGTACGTTGACAGATGAATGGATAAAGAAGCCATCATATATATATGATGGCTTCTTTATCCATGTGTGTGTGTGTGTGTGTGTGTGTGTGTGTAATGGAATATTACTCAGCCATAAAAAAGAATGAAATAATGACACTTGCAGGATCATGGATGGACCTAGAGATGATCATATTAAGTGAAGTAAGTCAGACAGAGAAAGACAATTACCATATGATGTCACTGATATGTGGAATCTAAAATGTGACACACATGAACTTATCTAAGAAACAGAAATAGATTCACAAACATAGAGAACAGACTTGTGGTTGCCAAGGGGGAAGGCAGGAAGGGGAGAGATGGAGTAGGAGTTTGGGGATTAGTAGATCCAAACTATTATATGTAGGATGGATAAGCAACAAGGTCCTACTGTAGAGCATGGGGAACTATATTCAATATCTTGGGATAAACCATAATGGAAAAGGATATGAAAAAGAAGAAGAAAGAAAGGCCCTCGCTGTAAGAATACTCAGACTAAGCCCCTGTCCCTAGTTGGGCTCAGTTCCCTCCTCTGTAATGAAGGGGGCTCTCAGCACACCTCAGCACATCCCTCATCTGCTGCATCAGGGTCTTGCAGTTCAAGCTGCAGATTTAGCTCCTGACCTTTACAAGCAGGGGGAGAGGAATTTAATTC